CGTAGGTACTGTAGTGATCGGTGGTCTGTCCGTACGGTCACGTCGGCGCCAGTCAGGTAACACCGCCAAACCTTGAACGCGTGCACGATCGCCAACATTTCGCGGTCGTGTATCGGGTAGTTGCGTTCGGGCGGGTGCAGCTTGCGGGACTCGTACGCGATTGGCTGGAGGCCGTTCCCGAAATCCTGCAACAGTACTGCTCCCACAGCGATGTCACTTGCGTCAGTGACGAGCTCGAACGGACGGTGTGGATCTGCGATGTGAAGCACGGGCGGTGAGCACAAAATGTTTTTGAGGGCCGAGAAGGCAGCTTGCTCTTTCTCCCCCCACGTGTACTCAACCCCCTTCCTCAGCAGGTCTGTCAGCGGGGCAGTCAGCTTCGCCATGTCGGGGACGAACCGGCGCACGTAGTTGACGAACCCCAAAAAACTCTGCAACTTGGTCAAGTTGGTCGGCGCGTGCCATGCTTGAATCGTCGCAATTTTTTTCGGGTCTATTTCCACTCCTGCAGCTGAAATAACGTGTCCCAAAAACTCCAGGCGGTCCTGGAAAAGCTCACACTTAGACGCTTTTGTCAGTAGGCAGTTCTCACTCAGTATTTTAAAAACTGCTTCGATGTCCTGTAAGTGCTGTGCTCTGTCAAGGCTGTAAATCAGTATGTCGTCCAGGTGTACTATGACGCACTTATCTAAGAGCGGGCGGAAAGCTTCGTTCATGGTCATTTGAAAAGTGGCGGGGGCGTTGGTCAGTCCGAAGGGCATGACGGTGTATTCGAAGGATCCGTAGCGTGTGCGAAATGCGGTCTTAGGGCAGTCGAGCGGATTGACGCGAATCTGGTGGTAACCCCCTCGGAGGTTGATTTTCGAGAAAACCCGGGCTGTGCGCAATTGGTCGATCAGTTCGTCGGCTCGCGGGATGGGGTAACGGGATTTGATGGTAACCCTGTTCAGTGCTCTGTAATCTATGCACATGCGAAATCCCCCGTCTTTTTTCGGTGTGAACAGTATCGGTGCTGCGAAAGGCGATGAACTAGGGCGAATGAATTCCTTCTCGAGCAGGTAATCGAGCTGCTTCCTCAGTTCGTCCAGTTCGGGCTGGGTCAGTCGGAACTGTCGCTGTACTGTTGGCTGTGCCCCCGGTTCTAACTCTATCCTGTGGTCGTGCGGTCGCTGAGGTGGCAGTCCCGTCGGTAAATCGTCCGGGAAAATGTCGCTGTACTGCTTCAACAGTGCTGCCAGATCACTCGGTACGTCAGCCAGCAGTTTCTGTAAATCCCCTCCTTTGTCTGCTGCCTCGGCTTCCCGAATGTCGACCGCGTACACGTCAGCTCCTGCCGCTACGGCGCGTTTCATCGTGATCGCGTTGACACGCACCGACGAAGACTCAGGCGAGCCCCAGCGAGGTAGGGCGATGTTGTTACCGTTCACTCGCACGGTGCAGTCACCCGTCGTCCAGTCGATTCGCGGATTGTGTCGTCGCAGCCAATCACGCCCGAGTAAAATATCGGTTCCGTCGAGGGTCGTTGCGAGCATTTCCTGGCTAAACGTGAAGTTACCCCCACATCGAATCCGAACCCGGTCTACGCGTTCCCGTATCGCCAGCGGCGTGCCGTCTACCAGTCTTGCGTCGATCTCAGGTAAACATCTGTCCAGTGGCAGTCGCAGTTTTCGTGCTGTGGCAGTGTTGATGAGGCTGTGGCTGGCTCCCCCGTCTACGAAGATTTTTACTAAGTTTGTCCCAATTTTCCCACTAAGCAGTATGGGGCTGTCTACCGTAGTCCCCTCCTTATTCGGCCGGGTGTGGTCGATTGCGTGAACCGGCACAATCACTCGGTGAGGATCGGTTGGGTCGGGCGAGCGGCGTGACCTGTCAGTAGAGGGCCCGTCGGCTACTGACTCCCAGCGTTTCCCTGCTGCTTGGTCTGTTTCTGCTGCTCAGCTTCCCCCTTTCCCTTAGCGTTTTCCGGGCATTCGCTCTTGCGATGTCCCGGCCGATTGCACGCAAAACAGCGCCCTTTGAATGGTGCGGCAGCGGCATTTGCGGCGACGGCACGTATCGTGGTGCCCTCGTTCGTCCCACGAGGCCGATGTCCCCAATGGCTGCTTCCGTAGGACCCCGGTCTCGGTCGGCGGAAGAAATTAAGTTTCTCCGCCATAGCGAGAATTTCTTGAAAGTCGGTGACGCCGCAAAGCTGGATTTCCTGAGCGATGTCCTGCTTCAGGCCGCCGATGTAGTGGTCGATGCGCTCGCTCTCGTGCATATATCCCACCTGCTCGCATAGCGCCAGAAATCCGCTCGTGTAGTCTTGGACGGAACCGAGTTGGTGCCAAGTGCGGAGCTTCTGTCGCGCCGCGATCGAAGCCGCGATTGGCTCGAAACGAGCGCGCAGACCTGCGCACCACGCGTCCCACGTGCGATACTGGGGCACCTCCACGAAATACGACGGCGCCCAGGGTCCGGTTTGTCCTTCCCGTGTCGGTAGAGTCGCGTAGTCCACCGGCTTCGTGACGATGACGCGCCACCAGTCCATGGCGGGTCCTCGCAGCAACGACACGGCGTAACGAATCTTCGCCGTATCCTCCGAGACGTAGTTCGCGTTGAAGAAAACGTTCAACGTGAAGAACCACGCCTGAACGGTAGGACCACCCCGCTGACTTGGGTCAAAGCATGGCGGCCGCTGCGGCTTTAGCGGCATCAGCGACGGAAGAGCTGATTCGCCGGCCGGCACTGAAATCGTGACTCGAGGCTGAGTCCTGGCCGCATTCGTCGCGTCGGGGTGTGTCGTGCCGTGGTCGTCGTCTCCATCATGGCGGACGACGCCATCACTTGCGGCGCTCGCGGGTTGCCCCACACTTCCGTGCTGTGATGCCTGTGGTGCGGGCTGAATCGGAGTGCCAGGTGCTTGGGATTGTGCTCGTGTGAGGTCGTTTTGCAGGGACGAGCGTTCTGCCGTCAGCGTCGCGATTTCCTCGGCGCTCTCGCGGATTTGTCGCAGCAGATCGTTCAAGTGCTCCTGCGTGAGAGTCGTGACGTCGATATGTTCAGCCATTTCGAAGGACGTCGGCTCGTCTTAGTCTAGGCGCAGTCGTGGCTGCACGCGTTTACGAGAGAACGCGAGGACAGCGGCTCCTAGGTGCTAAGGTGCGTGAATCCCTTCGAGTGAAAAATCAAAAGTTGATTTCCTGGGGTGCGGAGATGCGCGGTCCGAAAAGGAAAGAGGCTCTGAATACCAAGTGTTACGGGTGCAATGAATTGAAGTAGCGAGAATTGCACTAAGGTGTCAAACGAGCACAAAATGTGAGCGAAGGCATGAGCGAACATTTATACGCGAAACATGCAAACGGTAACGCGGTGCGTGCGAGCTAGCTAGTGCTACGCTGGAAGCGAGGCTCGGGCTAGTCCCGAAGCGTAGGCCGACACGGCCAGGCCAGCAGTGCGAGGTTTGGTGAAACAGTGCGCGCGAAGTCGGCGAAGCCCCGTTAGCAGTAACGGGCGAACAACGGCTGCTGCTGTACGCGATGTTGCAGGGTGCGCTAAGGAATATCGAGAAAATTCCTTACAAATGTAGAGGAAAATCCTTACAGATATACACGGATACTTGATTCGGCAAAATGTAACATCGCATTTTTTGTTTGACAGCTGGCGGCTCGTCAGTATCCCGAACCGGCAATGTGCGCCTCGTCAGTGGCGCGTCACATGGCATCAGTTTGAGGGAGCTGAATTCAAAAACTTCAGTTGCCCGGACCCGCTATGCAACAGTTAGGACTTCAGCTCAGTGAGGGTGGGTTTCCTGTCAATACCTGGTGCCGTGTGCATGTATTTTATTTCCCGTAGGTCACACCTATCCCCTCCACTTCACCATCCTTTGCTTGGAGAAAACGAAATAGGATCACCTTCCATTGGTGCCTGAAACGTGGGGACGTCGTGCCAAGAGAGCTGAACTGTCAGATTCTGTTAGCTTTGGAATATCCGACGGCTCATCTTTCTCCACATTTCTTGGCACCTTTGGATGTTTCACTTCAGGCAAGTTTTCTCACCCCCCACTGACTGACAGGCCCACGTGTTTTTCGGAACCAAGAGCACCCAGGCCGCTCCCGTCTTTGGCGCAGAGCAGCGCTTCAGCCGGCAAGTGCAGCCCCTCAAGACGAGGAAGTCAGCATTCTTCGTTCGCCAATTCAGCATAAAATGGTTCCACGGTCCGCCATCGCAGCAGTGAGCTCGCAAGCCGGGTCCGCAAGCTGAGCTCGCGCGTAGACGATTTCCGACCCCTCTGGCGGCGGTGTTCTAATATTGTAACCCGCGGGCAGTCAGCGTGGTTTCGGACAGCTTTTAGGTTAAGACCAGTTCGATCAACGCATATGCAAGTGCAATAGTTCGTTTGATGTCACAGGCTCTAGCTGGATACGGTAATAACCTGGCTCGCTATACTAGTAGCTATCATCTCGAGGTATCTCGAGCGGATCAGCCCTGAAGTCCTTCCTCTCAACGCCTGACGATACTATTGAGACATTTTCAAGAATCTCATTCGGCTTCTAGCGACTATCCGATCATCATACCGTAGGGTGACTAGACTGACTATACTAGTAGCGAGACGTGTGTAGACTCCACAAGTCAGGGTGATTAGTATTGCACCACGGGTGATTATTGCACCACCCTACAGTACATGGTCCGACCACGCTAGTCGCCCAATCAATGTCTCTGGCTGGGTGACTTTCTCTTCTCCCACGCATTTTTCCGAGCAATGGGTGCGGTTCCGGATCAGCACATATCGAAGCACCGGCCGAGCCAGCGGCAGAAGCGGAGAGTGATACCGTCGCTGCGGCTGGCGCTGCTGGTGCTCGGCGTCGTCTCCGCCGCTTACGCGTGTCTCGTGCGCCCTCACTGCGCGCCCGCGACCCTGCCGCTATCCAAGGAGGTAAGAGGGCACGGCTTGCTTGGACTGGCTCTGCTTATTGCGGCACCGCAAGGCCGCTGTCCAAGGACTCCTTGGAGTTAAGGAGTCACACCTTTCTTGGACTGCTCTCCGCCGCCCACGCGTGCCTCGTGCGCCCGCACTGCACGCCAGCGACCCTCCCGCTGGCCAAGGAGGTACGGTACCACAGCCTGCTTGGACCGTTCCTCCGCCGCTTACGCGTGCGTCGTGCGCCCGCACGTCGCGCCACCGACCCCGCCAATGAGTAAAGAGGTAGGTGCTGCTGGAGGTGATCCCCGGCTTTGATAATTCTCAAGAGTTGCATGATGTGCTCCATGATGTGCTCCATGATGTGCTCCATGCTGTGCTCCATGATGTGCTCCATGCTGTGCTCCATGATGTGCTCCATGCTGTGCTCCATGATGTGCTCCATGCTGTGCTCCATGATGTGCTCCATGATGTGCTCCATGCTGTGCTCCATGATGTGCTCCATGCTGTGCTCCATGATGTGCTCCATGCTGTGCTCCATGATGTGCTCCATGATGTGCTCCATGCTGTGCTCCATGATGTGCTCCATGCTGTGCTCCATGATGTGCTCCATGATGTGCTCCATGATGTGCTCCATGCCTCGTGCTCCATGCCTCGTGCTCCATGCCTCGTGCTCCATGCCTCGTGCGCCCGCGGCACTGCGCGCCGCAACCCTGCCGCTGTGCAAGGAGGTACGCGCACGAGCACGCCGCAAGAGGTGGGGGACCCTACTGTTGAGCGTCTTTTCCGCTTAAGAGATACTTGGGAAGAGGCGGAGGGGAATGGAGAGCGGTGGGGTAACCAGACAGACGTGGGGAAGTCAGGAGGTGGAGAAGTGAGAGGTAAGAGGGGTTCGAAGGAGGGGGATTGAGAGAAATGGGGGTTTTGGATCGTGTTCGATTCGTGCGTCCGCCGTCGCCTCGCACTGCTTTTCGTCATGCCCCTTCCCATCCGTTTCCTCCACTTCTCTGCCTCTCTTCCTTGCTTCTTCAACCTTCGCACTCCCTCTCCTCCCCACCCATCCCCGCCTCCCCCCTCCTTTCTGTTCCAACGCGATCCCCCACGAGCTAGAGCTGCGGCAATGGACGCGGCAATGGACGGGCGCAGGCCCCATTTCCCCGGTTTCCCTTTCCCATCCCCGCCTTCCCTCCCCCCCCTCCCTCCCCCTCCCCCGCCCTTTCTTTCCCAATCCAGATTCGTCCCTTCCCCTTTCCAACCTCCTCTCACCTTTCCCTCCCCCAATTTGTAACACTCCGCCCGTACCTTCCCCCGTGTGCGCCCACAGGAGCTGGAGATGTCAGATAATTCGCGCAGAGAAGAAAATACCTTCTCCCCTTTTTCCCCCTCTTCCTCACATTCCCTTCCCCAACGTTCAAGTCTCCGCCCCTTCCCCCCCTCCATGCGCGCCCACAGGAGCTGGAACTGCTGCAGATGATGCGCGCAGAGGGGGCCGCAACGGTGAAGGTGGTGACGGTGGGAGGGGGAGGGGGAGGGGGAGGGGGAGGGGGAGGGGGAGGGGGAGGGGGAGGGGGGAGGGGGAGGGGGAGGGGGAGGGGGAGGGGAGGGGGAGGGGGAGGGGGAGGGGGAGGGGGAGGGGGAGGGGAGGGGGAGGGGGAGGGGGAGGGGGAGGGGGAGGGGGAGGGGGAGGGGGAGGGGGAGGGGGAGGGGGAGGGGGAGGGGGAGGGGGAGGGGGAGGGGGAGGGGGGGAGGGGGAGGGGGAGGGGGAGGGGGAGGGGGAGGGGAGGGGGAGGGGGAGGGGGAGGGGGAGGGGGAGGGGGAGGGGGAGGGGGAGGGGGAGGGGGAGGGGGAGGGGGAGGGGGAGGGGGAGGGGGGAGGGGGAGGGGGAGGGGGAGGGGGAGGGGGAGGGGGAGGGGGAGGGGGAGGGGGAGGGGGAGGGGGAGGGGGAGGGGAGGGGGAGGGGGAGGGGGAGGGGGAGGGGGAGGGGAGGGGGAGGGGGAGGGGGAGGGGGAGGGGGAGGGGGAAGAGGCGGGGGAGGGGGAAGGGGAAGGCGAGGCGGAATGGGAAGGGGGGAAGCGGAGGTGGACGGAGAGGAAGGTGAAGTTGGAGGGGAGGCAGCGAGCCTGGGGTACATGGCGGATCACCCTGACCTGCTGCAAGCTCTGCTACACACCGTGAGTGCTGCGCGCTGCTGGGTGGTGGCTGCTGGTGCGTGCTGCGTGTTGATGCTCGCTGGTGGGCGCTGCCAGGGGGAGGGACGCAGCGAGTCTGCGGTACATGACGGATCACCCTGTTCTGCTTCAGGCGCTCCTGCTCACTGTGAGCGCTGCAGTCCAGCCACACGCACTACTATGCTTCTTAACTACCCACGTGCTTTCTTCCTGTATACCCACGTGCTTCTTGACTGCCCTCGTGATTCTTGACTATCCCACGTGCTTCTTGACTGCCCACGTGCTTCTTGACTGCGCATGTGCTTCTTGACTGTCTTAACGCTCACCCAGCAGCGGGAGGAGCGGGAGGAAGAGGAGCCGGAGGGGCTGTGGGGGTCCGTGCAGCAAGAGGAGTGGAGGCAGTGCGACGCACCTTCCAGGAAATACCGTGGTGGGTTGAATGAAGTGGGCAAGTTTTGGCGGTGCTCGCCAGCACAGGACAATTCGATTGAAATTCGACGGCATCGGGATGGCCGTGGAATCAGGAACCGGGGGCAGAACCCGCCGAATAGGTTGGGTGGAATGGCCACTTCGCGAAATTTCGCGCCAGAAATGGGAAACGTGGCAACGGGATCAGTAACCACCCTCCCCACCTTCCCCCTCGTGTCACAGCCAACCAATCCCATCGCCATCCCAAGGCAATTCACCGTGAAACGGGGAATTGCGATGGCATGGCATGGGGCGGAAAGGTTGGCTGGGGATGAAACTGCATCCCCATTTCCGCGGGCCATGATTCCATCCGAAATAGGGAGAAATTGATGGCGTTCGCCACGCCATCATGATTCCATTTGGGTCGGACGGAATCATAGGTTTGGCATGAATTTTACGGGCTGACCATCCTAATGGACCTTAACGAACCCTAACGGACGGGATCAGGAAGGCGTGACTGACCTTCCTGATCCCGCCCATTTTGCTGGCGAACACCGCCTTTGTTGCAATGTGCTCGTGCTTGTCGCTTTCCCTCCATGCATATGGCCTCCCCTCTCTTCATGCGTTTCGCCTCCCTCTTTCTCGTTCCACTCACTCTCGCCACGCAGTCTCATAGCCCCTTTGCCACAGCCCATCGAGTACAGATGGACGGAGCATTTGTTTTTGGATGAACACTCCCCCCTCCTCTTTCATTCATCTCCTCTCTCCCTTTCTCCTTCCGCTTCCCTCTCCCACGTTCTCCGCTCTCTCTACTCCGCGCCACCCCAATCAGACGCGCCACTGCCGGAGTCAAACGGCTACCTGCAGGCGTTTCTGGACGGAGGGCTCAACCAGCAGCGCATCAGTGTGAGTGGGTGGGTGGGTGGCATTGTCACAACGCACGGCTTCACCTGGTAACGGTTTGGTGCGTGGGTGGGTGAGAAGGAGGGCGCATGGGCAGATATGAGGCTGGCAGCGACTCATGCATCCCCGTTGCACACCCGTCGTTAGCACAAGCATGCTGCCCTCTCCCATCCCTCCTCCCCTCAAGCCTCCCCAGCTCCACGTGTGCCGCATTTGGTGAGGTGGCAGCTGGCCTGGCCTGCTGCGCACGACCCATCCGTGCTTCTCATCACCACCAGGAGTGCAACTCGGCGCAGTTGCCGTGACTTTCCTGCTCCACTAAACGCCACTCAATGCCAATCAACGTCACTCACGCCACTTATCTCTCTCCCCGCCCCCTCTTCACCCTCACTTCCCCACCAGGTGTGCAACGCAGTGGCAGTAGCCCGTCTGCTCAACGCCACTCTGCTCGTGCCTGAGTTCGCCACCAACATCTTTTGGCAGGACTCCAGGTGGGCGGCACACAGAGGGCAGGTGGGCGGCACACAGAGGGCAGGTGGGCGGCACGCAGAGGGCAGGTGAGCGGGACACAGAGGGCAGGTGGGCGGCGCACAGAGGGCAGGTGGGCGGCACACAGAGGGCAGGTGGGCGGTACACAGAGGGCAGGTGGGCGGCGCACAGAGGGCAGGTGGGCGGCACACAGAGGGCAGGTGGGCGGCACACAGAGGGCAGGTGGGCGGCACACAGAGGGCAGGTGAGCGGCACACAAGGGCAGGTGGGCGGCGCACAGAGGGCAGGTGGGCGGCACACAGAGGGCAGGTGGGCGGCACACAGGACTCCAGGTGGAATGACACTTGAACCAACAGTCGATTTCCCTTTTTGCAAACCACCCCCTCTTGATGCCCTTGCGCTCCCGTCCCCCCCTCCCATCTCCCTGCACCAGTCAATTCGAGGACATACTCGACCTGCCCCATTTCCTCTATCTCGTCGTCACCCCCTCCCTTGCTTCAATCCAGCCCCTCTATTCCTTCCCTCAATCCCTCTGCCCATGCTCGCTCTCCCCCTACCACCAGTCAATTCGAGGACATATTCGACCTGCCCCATTTCGTCGCCTCCCTTAAAGCCGACATCCGCATAGGGCGCCGTCTCCCCCGCCACCTCGCATGGAGCACGGCCGCTTACTACGCCTCCTCGCCCTCCCTCTTCCCTCATTTCAGCCCCTCTCGACCCTTCCCCCTTCCTCCACTCCCCAACCTCCACCCTCCAATCCCACCAGTCAATTCGAGGACATATTCGACCTGCCCCACTTCATCGCCTCCCTGCAAGCCGACATCCGCATAGCTCCTCGTCTCCCCCGCCACCTCGCGTGGAGCACAGCGGCCTACTACGCCTCCTCGCCCTCCCGCCGCAACAAGCTCATCCGCTCCGCGCCCCTGCACGCCACCAAGAAGTGGTACCTCAAGCGCGTGCTGCCACGGCTCAAGCAGTAAGTGGGGATTGCACTGCGGCAATGCCTCAAACCCAACACCCTCACGTGCGGTAGTGGTAACAAGCTCGTGGGCCCATGCACGCCAGCAGCAAGTGGTGCTTGAAGCGCGTGCTGCCACGGCTGACGCAGTGAGTGCGGTTGCCCTAGAAGATCCCTCAGAGGACCCCCCTTGGCAGTGCCTCACACATCCTTCTTGCACTGCATTGCCTTCATCATCAACCTGCCCTTCCCTGCACTCACTCACACACGGTTCCTCTCCTCAACCGTCTCTCCAATCCTGTGTATATCCCCCCCTCCGTCTGCCGCTCTATCCCCCCAGGCGAGGCATTGTACCCCTGACGCCCTTCTCGCACCGTCTCTACTTCACTGCACGACCCCCCCACTGCACGACCCCCCCACTGCACGACCCCCCCACTGCACGACCCCCCCACTGCACGCCCCACACTCACTCACTGTTCGATTTCCCTCGCCTCTTTTCCCCATCTACCTCCCCTTCCATCTGCCATTCTGCCCCTCCAGGCGAGGCATCGTGGCACTAACGCCCTTCTCCCATCGCCTCGCCTTCACGGGGCTGCCTCGGGAGATCCAACGGCTGCGGTGCCGCGTCAACTTCCATGCGCTGCGATTTGTGCAGCCAATCAGGGAGCTAGGGTGAGTGCAGCCAATGAGCAGCCACCAAAGTGGTGACTTACCTGTGGGATCAACAGCATGAATGAGTATGCTATTTTGAATCTGTAAATTATGGTGTGATGCTTTATTTAGGCAGCATGCTTGCAGAGTATGGTTTTCATTTTCAGCAGCATTGGTCAACCAGCCAAGCACCTTTGTAAGTTCCATTCTTAGCCAAGCAGCCAAGCATAGGTGCTTTCGCCGCCCCGCCTCCCACCCCACTTTCCCCCCTCCCTTCAACCGCTTTGCGCCATCCTTTTAACTCCTCGACTATGTGGTTCTTTCCGGCCCTCACTGTCTCCCGCCCTTCAGGCACAAGCTGGTGCAGCGACTGCTGAACCCAATCCTACGCCCTACCCAAATCCCAGACGGCAGCCTTTGCCTCTCACTTCCCCGTCTCCCCTTTCCTTACCTCTCTGTCTCCCGCCCTTCAGGCACAAGCTGGTGCAGCGACTGCAGGACCCCTCCCTGCGCCCCACCCAAAGCCCAGAGCGCAGTTCTTCATCTCCATCCTCCCTTGCCTCTCACTCCCCCTTCTCCCCTTCCTTCCCTTACCCATCCGTCTCCCCCCTACAGCCAGAAGCTCGTGCAGCGACTGCAGGACCCCTCCCTGCGCCCCACCCGTAGGGGACTTCCCCACTCACCTTCTGACGACACGAGTGCTGCTGAGGTGGGGGATGGAGGGAGGGAGAGAGGCGGACGAGAGGAGGGGGGAGGCGATTGGGACGAGGGTGCGGAGGAAAGTTCGGGAGTGGGACAGTCGCTGTCTGCTGACACGAGTGCTGCTGACGTGGTGGGCCGAGGGAGGAAGGGAGGAGGAAGTGAGGAGAGGGGAGGGAGAGAGGAAGGGGGAGGAAATGAGGTTGGAGGAGGAGGAGAGGAGGGAGGGGGAGAGGAGGGAGGGGGAGAGAGCGAAGAGGTGCGAAGGATCCGAGTGGAACTGGTTGGGGATGAAGGGGAGGGAGAGGACATGGGTGGAGAGGGAGGAGAAGGGGGGGAGGAGGGAGTCCGAGCAGGAAGACGGGGAGGTATGAGCGAGAGTGGAAGAGGGGAGGAGGAGGGAGAGGAAGGTTTTGAGGAGTTGGGAGGGGAGAGGGTAGGGGAGGAGGTGCGGGAAGGAGGCAGTGGGGAGGGGTTGGAGGAGCTCCTGTGGTGGGAGGCGAGGGCGAAGGGATCGGAGCATGGAAGGCAGAGGGATGAGAGTGATGATGGGAGTGAGGATGGGAGGGATAAGGGACTGGAGCATGGAGAGGAGAGGGGTGTGAGGGATGATGGGAGTGAGGAGGGGGGGAAGGGAGGCAGTGGGGGGGAGGGGCTGGACGAACTGCTGTGGTGGGAGGCGAGGGAGAAGAGAATGGAGCATGGAGAGGAGAGGGGTAGGAATGAGGAGGAGGGGAGAGAGGGAAAAAAGGCACTGCATGGGAGTGAGGTGGTGGGGAGAGATAGCAGCAGCTGGTGGGAAGAGGAGCTGGAAGGAGGTGAGGGTGAGGAGGAACATGGGCGATTAGCATATAACGGCAGCGATTTACAGTTGGAGTATGAAGAAAGCGAGGATGTCTGGGGTGGTGGTGCCGAGAAGGAGAGTGTGGGGATTGAGCGTGTGGGCAGTGGGGATGGGGCGAGCGAGAGGGGACTGCTGGGGGGCTACAGGCGCCGGCGGTTGCTGGAGCGAGTGGTGGGGGGCGATTTGCGGGGGACGGACGAAGCAGGGAGGAACGATGTGGGGGGGAATGAGGCAGACGGGGACGAAGCAGAGGGGGACGAGGTAACCGGAGGCGTTTCCTGGGTGGGAGAGCAAGAGGAGGGGCTTGTATTGGAAGGTCCTCGCACAGAAGGGGAAGAGGAAGGGACGGAAAGGAGTGCGCTAGGGTGGGAGGGACTGAGGGCGCGAGTGAGGGAGGTGAGGGAGTTGCGGTTGCGCATAGAGCGGCGCGTGCGCGCGCGGCTGGAGCAGTGGGCTGAGGGCATGCGGCTGGCACAGATTGGCGCCATGTGGGGCGAGTGGAAGCACATGCAGCGGATGCGGGGCGAGGGGAGTGGGGGGAGAGAAGGGAGGGAGGGGAGTGAGAGGGGGGAGGGGACGGAAGCAAGGAGGTGGAGGGACGGAAGGGAAGAGGTGCGAGAGGTAAGTGGGGGGGTGTTGTGGGTGGTGAAAGGAGTGCAGAGGGTGATTGGTGCAGCCATGAGGGGGTTACGATGGAGGAAGGAGATGGGTGCGGGGTTGAAGGGGAGAAGGGTGGAGACGCAGGAGGCAGCAGAGGGTGGGCAAAGAAGGAGGAGGTTTCTGGCGATGCACCTGCGACTTGACTTGGTGAGTCAACTGCAATGCTTACCGAATTGCTATTTTCAAGCTTACAGCCTTCTCTTCAACTGCCTTGGAACTGCCTTCTTTAAGTAGTGCGGCTCCTGTTAGGGAGGAGTATGCGGTAAGGCATGAACTGCATTCAGCAGTGACGGTGGTGAGGCGTGGGAGGAGTATGCGAGCATGTGTGAGGGCGTGTTGAGTGGGCAGAGGAGGAGCAGGCAGCAGCAGCGCAAGGGGCGTATCGTCCTGCTCCCCGATCCTCCGCACGGCCCTTGACAGCCCGCCCTCCGTGTCCTCATTCCCTCCTGCAAGACAATGTGGTGTCACTATGGAGAGGCAGGGGAAGGGTGCCGTGATAAAAGAGAGCTTTTGACACGTGATAAAACTCCCTTCTATCACGTGTTTGTCCTTATTCCCTCACGCCTCAAACCCAGTCGTGTGACGCCTCTATGGAGAGGCGGGGGGAAGGTGGGCATAGAACAAGGCACGTTCCATGCTGCTCCCTCCCCCCCTTACCAGCCACACTCACTCCCCTTGCAACTCGACCCTCTACCCCATCTCCCCTACAGGGCATGGTGGTGGTGCACGTGAGGTGCGATTACGGGGAGGCGTGGAGGAGCAGGCAGTCAAGCAAGACGTTTCCCATGCTGCTCCCTCGCCGCTCTCACTCCCATCTCGTCGGCTCTCCCCCCCACCCCCCCAACAGGGTATGGTGGCGCACTCGAGGAGGCCACAGAGCAAGGCAAGGCGATGCCCCATGTTGCTCCCTCTCTCCCTCTACACGCGACCGTCCCCCCTACCTTCCTCTTCCCCATCTCCCCCCACAGGACATGGTGGCACACTCAGCGTGTGATTGTGGGGAGGCGAGGGAGAGTTGGGGACAAAGCAAGGCGCGCCTCATGCCGCTCCCCTGCCCCGCCTGGGCCCTCATTCCCCTCTCCACATGCCTCCCCCCTCCTCGTTCTCCTCCCCCTCAGGACATGGTGGCACACCCATGGTGCGACTATGGGGAAGCGAGGGAGGAGCGGGTACAGAGCAAGGCAAGGCGTGCCCCACGCTGTCCCCTTGCCACACTCACTCCCTCCCCATGCGACTCTTGCCTCCTCCCACACAGGACATGGTGGCACACTCGCGGTGCGACTATGGGGAGGCGAGGGAGGAGTGGGAGCAGCTGAGGCGGTACTGGAAAAGGGCGTGGGGGGAGCTGGAGGGTAAAGTGCATCACACCCCTCAGCAGCTGAGGGCGGCTGGCAAGTGTCCCCTCACGCCAGAGGAGGCGGGGCTGGTGCTGGCGGCGCTGGGATTCTCCAGACACACACAGCTCTACGTGGCTTCTTACCAGGTGTGGTGTGGTGTGGTGGAGTGCGGTGTGGTGCGGTGGGGTAAGGTAAGATGGGGTGAGGCGTGGTGTCATGTGGTGTCGTATCGTGTGGTGTGGTGCGATACGGTGCAATGTCGTGGTGTGGTATGGTGCGGTGGGGTGGGGTGTGGTGGGATGGGTGTGGTGCGGTGTGGTGTGTTGTGGTGTGTTGTGGTGTGTTGTGGTGTGCTGCGGTGTGGTGTGGTGTGATCTGCTGTGGTGTGGTCTGGTGTGGTGCGGTGTGTGTTGAGTTGGGCGAGTGATGGAGTGCGGTTGCAACAATCGCCCACATCTCCCACTCCCTTTTGAACTCCCACTCCCGTTTGAACTCCCACTCCCTTTTGAACCCCCACTCCCTTTTGAACTCCCACTCCCTTTTGAACCCCCACTCCCTTTTGAACCCCCACTCCCTTTTGAACCCCCACTCCCTTTTGAACCCCCACTCCCTTTTGAACCCCCACTCCCTTTTGAACCCCCACTCCCCTTCTAATTCCACTCCCCTTCTAATTCCACTCCCCTTCTAATTCCACTCCCCTTCTAATTCCACTCCCCTTCTAATTCCACTCCCCTTCTAAGTCCACTCCCCTTCTAATTCCACTCCCCTTCTAATTCCACTCCCCTTCTAATTCCACTCCCCTTCTAATTCCACCCCACGCAGGTGTATGGCGGCCCCACTCGCATGGCTGCGCTGCTCCGTCTCTTCCCCAATCTTGAGGATAAGACGACGAGGAGCTGCGGCCGTTCCGTGGGCGGGCGTCCATGTTGGCAGCACTGGACTTCTACGTCAGCACACACAGTGACGTGTTTGTGTCCACGTCAGCAGGCAACATGCATAATGTCATGGTGAGTGCATGGTGCTGTGAGTGCATGGTGCTGTGAGTGCATGGTGCTGTGAGTGCATGGTGCTGTGAGTGCATGAAACAGTGAGGACATGGTGGCATGATATGATGCGAGTGCATTGCACTTTGGTACATGTATGGCATTGTGGTGGGCGTGTCAGGGCGTTTGGTGCTTTAAACTCGTTAAGTACTGTCATGGCATCAGTCCAAACACTGACACACATATCAGCAGATCAAGTTATCTCCATGCCGCAGGCTCCCTGGTTATGCTCCTCCAAGGCACCCCTTCTCCCATATTCCCCCCACCCGTCAGGCTGGGTACCGAGCCTATTTCGGAGGCAGAAAGACCATCAAGCTCAACACCCCTCTCCTAGCCTCGCTCCTTCAAACACCGAACCTAACTTGGCCGGACTTCACCCGAGCTGTGCGCACGGGCCATGAGGGCAGGCTCGGACAGATCAAGGCTCGGCGAGCCGACCAGTCACTGTACACATATCCTGCCCCTGAGTGCTTGTGTAGAGTGGATGGTGAAGCAGGGAGAGAGGTAGAGGCGAGGAGAGGAGGGCTATGGCAGTGGTGGTGGTATGGGGAGCAAAAACAGAGGCAGGTGAAAGTGCAGGTGCAAGAGCCTCACCCTCCATGGTGATAAGCCTGAAAGTTGGATGTTTGTTGCTTTGTAAGTGTATACGCTTGCTGCCTTTCTGAGCAGCAAGCAACTTGCTTATTACGGCACAACAAGCCACAGGATGCTTTCTTATTATATTCCTATTCCCTCGTATGTAACACCCTTTTAAATAAAATGCCCGAGTTTGGTGCATGTTCGCACCTTGTGATCACCTTCAAAATGAACAGAACATCCTTTTAGAGACTATATTTCAAATTGTATTGCAGCGCGGTACTATTGTGTTGTTTGTGTTGTCGACGTTGCCAATTCCAATCAGCAACATGCAGTACTCGACTGTCGAGGGAGACGTTTTGTCAGGAAATATGCTGCCATCTCATTGGTGGGGTAATAACTAAGTTGTAGCTTGTGTTACGATATGGAATGATTGAATAAACATTCCTAGTAACGAATCCTTAACGCGAAGACGACTGCAGCGAGGACGAAAGACCAAGCGACAGGACAGTTATCGAAGACAGTTACAAGCAGAAAGAATTCGAAATGAAAAGTGCGGGAAATGTTCAAACGGTTACCGGACCGCGTACGGTTGCCGAACCGCACGGTTGCGATGCTGGTTCTAGATTAGCCCTAAGGGGAATGTACCCCCTCAGAGTACATGGCTAGCTAGGACCTTTCGTATTCCACTGTATTCCTATATAAACCCCTGTACCGCATTGTAATAGTCACTTCTGTCGAGATTCAAATCTCCTTCTTCTGACAGAGTCCGTACCCGACATTACCTAGCAAACTTCCGCTGCTACACTCTCCTGCGATCAACCTGAGACGATTCTATAAGACGGTTCAGATTGCATCATGGTATGAGAGCCACTCAGGATTCTTCGCATCACCACCTTTGATTCAAAATCCAATTCAAGGTGGCGTCCGGTACGCGCTCCCGCCGAAACATGGCTGGAGGATCTGGTGGGCAAGCGGCCAACACCGCCGAACCCCCCACCAACCCAACCGCGAACTCCGCGGGAACCACTACCGTCAGCAATGCGCTTCTGGAGCAACTCATCCAGCGGATTACCACGCTGGAATCTAGAATTCAACAATTGAAGAATGACAACCCGGCAACCACGCAACAACCCGAGCAACCGGCCGCTCCAGTCAAGGAACCGAGCCCAACCACCTTCGACCTCGGGTCAAATTCTTCTACTCCAACTGCTCCTCGTCCAAGCGACGAAGCCGTGCTCGCAGCCCAGAACAAGTTTCTAACTGTCTCCAAGATCCGCACCAGCAGCGTGTTCAGCGGACGTGACTTCTACACCTGGAGTTTCGAGCTCGAGCTACTCCTGCAAAACGCGCAAATCATATGCTATTTTGACGGAAGCTACGCTAGTCCCACCAGCGACACCGACGACGCGAAAGTGCAATACTACAACGAATCGCTAATGGCTTATAGCGTTCTCCTTCGGAACATGGCGCCGGCCGAACAACTCGGCATCCGCCCCTACAAAAACTACCCAGCTCCCGCCTTCGCCGCCTGGAGTTATCTCAACAAGACTTATCAACCCAAGGATTCTGTTTCATCCAGACGTCTGCTTCAGGAACTTATGGAAGTCAAGATGGCACCTGGCGAGAAGGCAGACACTTACATCAATCGCTGCCGCAGCGTCCGCGATCAACTCCTAAAGCTGGGCAACACTATTCCGAAGATATGTTCGTCACCATTGTCCTCCGAGGACTCGGCCCACACTGGAATCCCTGCAAAGCCCTGCTTCGCCAACAGGGCATAATCTCCGAAGCGCATCTCTGCGCCACCTTGCTGCACGAACAGCGAGACATGGACTTCAATCAGGAAAAAGGGACGCGCCGCGAACAAATCGCCTTCTACTCCGATCGCGACCAACGAAGGAATCGCGACACACGGCCTCGACAATACTACTGCAAGAACTGCAAAATCTTCGGTCACTCCACCGAACGATGCCGATCCGGACCACGCAACACCTCCGCGCCGCGCAACAACTCTGCTCAAAACCAAGACCATACGTGCCAGGCCAACCGACCGTCTTCGGACCATCGGTTCGCCCCGCGCCAATCGCAGCAACCAGACTCGCAGCGGCCACCACAGACCAACAATGTCCGCCACGTCATGGGTAACATGGCAATGCGCGTTCGCCGCCGCACTCGGCGCACAAACCGGGGACATCTCCGCTACATCTCTCCGCCTCCGCTTGGACGGGAGGTCGAGTTCACCCAGTACAACAATCCGTTCACACAAGACGGAGAATTCGTTTCCGACGAAAACGAGCAAGACTGGAACCTGCCCACACCGCTGCTGGAGTCGCCGCCCCACGACGAAGATTTCCTTAACTCACCGTCCATCACCACCTACTATTTCGGTCACAACATTGACACACGCCCACTCGACAACTACGTCGCTGCCGGCGACAGGCGCATCCCGTTCCGCAACACGCCGAACCTTGCGCTCTCGGCTCAGCGCCGCGGAAACTGCTACAACACATGGTTCCTCGACAGTTGCTGCGGACAACACATGGTAGGCTCCAAGCGCTACATCTCCAACGCCTACCCCATTTCCGAACCAACCATCATCACTGTAGCAAACGCGCAACAGCTTCACGCCCGCGCCTGTGGCATCGTTGTCCTCAAAGCGCGCGACAGCGATATCCACATCACTCTCAACGACGTTCTCATCGTGCGCGATCTCCAGTACAATCTCCTCTCCTACGACCAGCTAGTCCAAAGCGGAGTACTCATGCACACCGACCCCGAGACCCGCGACATCATCATGCACTGGAAAGACTACAGTTCGCCGAACAGCACACCACGATACATCGGCAGGGCTCACTTCGACGACGGGGTTTACATCCTCGATTTCGACATCCCCGATTGCAGCGCTGACTCAGGAGACCTCATCGACCTCCTACCTCAGGACGTGGCATGGTTGAACAAGCCAACTCACCCTGACGGCCGCCCCGGGTCAAGCACCACGCACACCCGAGGGAAGTTGACCTTCACGCCCCTGGACCTGATGGACTCTGCCGCAACTGCCGCACACCAACTGCCTCGTCCACAGAAGACAGAGCACAGCAGCTCCCACGGTCTCCCGCGCAAAGGACTTCCTCGCTCGACAAAGGAAAAGGCGCAACAGACGAAGGCGAATCCTCCGCCGCAGCCGCACGACGACTCGCCGCCTCAGCAACAACCACAGCCCCTGCCGCAGAGGAATCCTCCACACTGACCTCGACCGTAACCACCCCACCCCCTCCACGCGTTCTAGACATCGTCGAAGAGGCCGAGTGGCAGACCCCTCACCCAACAGGCATGAGGGATGGAGAACTTGCTGCAGCACTCACCGTGTTCCAACATCGCAGGACTCGAGTCGACCCTACCGTCCATGATCGCCTCGACTTTCTCACTCGCTACATCGGCCCTGGCGCGTTCGATGCCAACAACAACCCACTTCCCCTCACTCGGGAAAGATACCATGCTAATCACCCATGGTCACAACGCACCATGACAACGGAGGAGCTTCAGCGCCATGAAGAAGAAGAGCGACGCCGCCGCACGGACGAAGACACTCAGGCCGCAGCAGCAGCAGGAGGCTGGGGAAGCGGACCTACAGGTGGATGGGGAGACACCGTGCCATCCTGGGGAACACCGCCTCACGAGGAGGAGGAACCAATTGAAGAGGAGATCGCGCGCGCCGAAGCCGAAGCCGCCGCAGAAGCCGCTGGCCCCTATGGCCCACCTCACCCCCTCGGCATACCCCCCTCACACGCCTCACCCAGTGACTCCTGGGGTTCATCAGCAGACTCTCGGCCACCCACAGACCGCGACACTATACTGCCCTACCGCTCCTATCCCCGAAGCCCCCTGCTCACTGAATCCACAACCATCAGCCCTTCAGACCCATCCCCACCCACAGTCCATCACACCTTACCAACTCACCACATGCCTCGCCCACACCTTCCCGAAGAAACAGCAGACACGGATGACGCACCTACTGCTACCACCGCTCATGAAATCATTTTTGCTCTTGGATTGTCCATCTCGCCCCAACCAATCTCAGAACCAACACCCACGGACATCGCCATCATCGCCTTCTACGCACGCTCACCTGGCATCCGCGCACAGCGCGATCTCTGGCACAGACGCCTCGGACATCCCTCACAGGAAGTCCTCAACAACTGCATTCGCGCGCAGGTCTTCCTTCCTGGCACACTGCTCCGCCCCGACGGAACCCCGCTCCCAGTCACCACCACTCAGCGCACCGACTGCACCATCTGCCCCGAAGCAGCTCTAGCCCACCAGCCCTTCAAGCTCCTTTAGCCCAGCACGAACCGTTACGATAAACTTCAAAAGGTCTACAGCGATTT